CATCTGTTTGATAAGTGAGAGAAAAGAAAGATTTGGAGCAAATCTTTCACATCATTAATTACATTTCAGAGCGAGTCTGAAATTGTTTTGTGAGCGTTCGTCATTGAACTGTCACAGGAATAATCTAAGCTTGGCGCACAAGTCCCCAGTCGGCCAGATGCTTTCATGTGTAAATAGGAAGCATAGAAACAAGGACGTGACTTGCTAATTAATTGAAGCTGACAATCTTTTCCTTTAGGTTTTCCTGGCTGCCTGAAAAACAAATTAACTCCTTCTATGGCATGCCCTCAAGACTCATTAGACCGAAATATGTTAATAATAGGAATTGTATTGGGCGTCTTAGCTGTAGCACTGCGGTAGTCCTTATCCCTTAATGCATTTTAATGTTGCTAAAATCCATTTAGGGTAATCGCTCCAACATGCAGAAAGGTGGCCATGTTAGGCCCAACTGTTCACCAGAAACACTGAAAGGTGCCTGCAGACATTAGATGGAATCTAGTCATTGATGCAAAAATGGCCACCAAAAAAAAGCTCTCATTGTACATACAGATTGGTTTGAGCCTGTAGAGCAGGGAGGGGAGGCACATAAACGCACACTAGTCTTTGATAAATGGAAACCAGTCGAGAGAAATCTATCATGGACAGTCAACTCCTCCAAGCACGACAGGGGACGATAGGGAGGATTTTCAGAGACGCGATAATTCCCTCACTTACTTGCTAACAGCTAGCCAGCCCAGGCAAACGCTCTTCTATGTCTGTAGACACATTAATACTAAATCCATGTAGGATGCCAGTCCTGAACACTCCTTCGGAAAGTGCTAGTTGCCTGGCTGTTGTGTTGCTAAGAAAGCTTTGATGTTATTAAAGTCACCGACCAGGAAAAAGGATGCTGATCAATAGTTCCAACTATTTCTATAAGGACAGGTCTTACTTTAAAGCGGAAGTATAGTCCGGAAAATATAAAACACATTGCTGGGAGGCAGGGAGACATTTTTCCTCTCTCCCCAGCATTTTTCTATTTTATGTGTACATTGTACGGCCAGTGGCGTAACCAGAGTTATTGGCGCCCGGGGCAGAACATTTCCCCCCAGCCGCTCGCAGTGGTCTCGGAAGAGCGAGCGGCCGCCCGATGACAGAGCCGGGTGATCGTGTCAGAGAGAGGGAGCCATGGCTTCGTTTAGCGGGGGTCGTGACGGCACCCCCCCTCAGTCCTGCGCCCTGGGGCAAGTGCCCCCCTGCCCCCCCCCTGCCACTACGCCACTGTGTACGGCACATGCGCCGTGCAGTGTACACACTCAGCCCATTCAGAAATAAGAAGCCATGAATGAGACTCATACTGGGGAGGATGTAACTCCTGTGTGCATGTGCAGAAGTTACATCATCCGTGGCTGAAGAGGATGCCTGGGACCCTGGAGGTGTTGGCGGTGGCAGGGTGTTTGTGGGGCTGAGGATTGATCCAGCAGCACCGAAGGTCACATTTGTAAGGCAAGTGTGCCCCAATATGCAAGACATCAGGGCAAAAACTCACCCTTCTCACAGCGGTTCACTTCCACTTTAAGGAAATGCACTTGTGATGTGTCTGAGAAATACATTCTAGAAAAATACACAGCATGCTGGGAGTCCAACTGTTTTCTGATTTCAAACATGTGAATAAAGCACATTAGAAAGATTTAAACAATTAGGCATCATATTGATAAGGGTGTATAAAGCCTCAGCAGACTAGATAGTAGGGCGTGCTGTGTCTTTAAGTAAAACAAGTGATGAGAGTGCAGGTCTGCGAAGGAGAAACGGGACAAGTTGATCAATTTGGAATCGGCAAGCATGCAAGGGAGTAATATACCACAAACACATTAAGCATTCAGTATTACTAGCTGCTATGGTTCACAATGTCTGGGTGCTCAGATTTACTAGAGGGCTGCTATAAACACACAGACCTCACTAACTTGTGGCTATTGACATCATTGGATTGATGTTATCCCAAGCAAGACTATTTTCCCATGAGAAGAGAGTCTTTCCCACTGTAGAAATACTGCTTTGTAATTCCTGTACAGTCAGAGCAGAAATTCAGGCTCCTTCCAACCATACCAGGCTGAGAGTACCTGTAACCCTCCCCTTCTGCTACAGCTGACATAGGAAACAGATGACTGTTGTACTCTTAGGCCTTACAAGAGTACAACATAAAGCTTGGATGAACATGCATGAGTATATTTGATAAGGATATGCAAGCAGCAATGAAAATAAAGTGCAGTAACACACAGCAACCAATCAGATTTCAGTTTGGTAATGTTGCACTAGCCATCCTGTTACAGGCGACAAGTCAGCAGTGACAGGACTATCAAGATTGTTAAGAGAGCAGAGAGAACACTCGCCTGTTCCTATGGCAGTGTTGTGTCACTGGCCAAACCAGCAAGGTGTCACGGGTGTCACTGCTGCCCAAGTTAGATTCTACAGCATTTTGAGCAACAAGGAGGCAACACCGTACGAGGAGGAGGCGAGTGCTCTCCTGTTAACCTATGAAAAAACGATTTTGTACTGCTGCTGCATGGTACTGAACCCTCTTCATTACTCTAGTACATTAGATGCATGGTGTGCACCATTTACCTGATGCCATCACTGGATCCTTCATGATCTCCCAGGTAATGGGGCAGAGAAATTCTTCAGGGATGTTGGAAGAAGCCGCTTTCATCTTGCTTCGTAATTCTTCTATCTGCCTCATAATCTTATTACGCAGTCCTAGGGACTCTGCCAAGGTAAACATTTGTTTGGATACATTTTCTGTTACTGATGGAATAAAGAATCTGGCACAGCGATCTTTACACATCTATACTCAAATGTACAATTCAACATCTGCATTCAACATTGTGAAACTCCTTCCATACGATGAAGTGATAACAATAGTTTGGAACATTCAGGAGACTCGGCATTAGATTAAGACCTGCACACCTTGGCACCAAATAACTGCCTGGAACATTGACGTAACTATGTTAGGAGGGTCTGAAGGGGCCGTTCGGGGGTTAAGTACTCTGGAACTTCATAAGCATTTGAACACATCATTGATTTTTTTCTTTTCCACAGGACCTCATGCTATTAATATGCTTTTGGTTTCCCAGCATGGAAATAAGCTATGGTTTATTCAGCCGATATGCTTTTAAAGATGACCTTGTAATGAAGCCAAGGCTTGTCAGGCTGAATAAATGTAACATGCATGCATGTGTACACAGACGTTAAAAAGGGGGCACTTTTTTAACACCTGCCAAGTGCCCCCCCAATCCCCAGTTCAGCTGAGTCACAAGCTCAGTGTGAACTATGTCCATCGCTGGACCAGTTGTTTTGTTTGATGACCAGACTGCATCCACCACCCTCATTCTCCTACAGGGGAAGAGTGTGTGTGTGTCACAGCCTGAGTAACATGGGTGCTCGTCTGCATCCAGCTCCCATGTGTACTTCAAGGGGAAAACAGGAGCAAGTAGACCTGAAGTTTAGGAGGAGATCACAGGTAATACCTGCATCTGTACAAGTTTTTGGCTGCCACAATTAATAAACTTGCACCACACACAAATGCCAGTGCCAAAGGAGCACCTTCATAAAATCAGAGTCTTTCCCTATGGCAACCAATCAAATGCTTGCTTTCACTTTCTAAGCTGCACTGGAAAAATGAGAGCTGAAATCTGACTGGTTGATAGGAGTGACACTGCCAGGCTCCTCCCTCCCTCACCATTTTTATACAGAGGCAAACAATGACTTACCTATCTTCAGGTCATTGAGCAGCGTGTCCTTAGTGAGGTCGAGTAATTCTTTGCCATCAATATTGTTGGAGCTGAACTGCTTCTCTACCTCTGCCAGGCCTTCTGCGGAGAGCCAGTTCCTGACATCTTTCTCTGTCCAGTTCTCAATATGGGCCTCTGTTCTTCTCAATCTGCCAACTGGAAACAAAACATATCCAGGGATGAGTGCCCATTGGGAGGAAGCCTAACTTTCTCTTAGGCTGAAGTCTCAGTATAAATAAAGCAATGACCTCACTATAGTAGATAGGGGAAATCATTAGGCAATGTTCCATGGGAGTTGCATGCAAGTAACCCTTTCCATAAGGAGAAAGGTCTTGTGGGTAATGTTGTGTACAGCAAGGCAGTGCAAAGACCAATATCATGCAAAGTGTAATAATCCAGATTAAAAGATTGCTGTAGTCAGGAAACTGCTATAGGATACTGCATGTGTCTTAACCTGCTCATACCCGGGTCAATTATCATCAAGTATAAATGTCATTATAGACTATCAGCTTTTAAGGCTAACACATGCAGATCATAAAAATGTCTCTCCCATTCATTGCTCTAGAACCTCTAGTAGCACTTCTACACTGCAGCACAGATGTGAGTAAAGTGAGTGTAAACAATGTCCGGCAATACAGAGGAGCAGGCAGTGGGTCCTTGCTGTATCTATGGTCTTTGCGGGGGCATACTAGATGGGGGGGG